TAAGTATGAACTCTTATATGATTTATGATGCTTTATTATTCTTATTATATTCATGTTATTCTTATATCTTTATCTCTTATGATTATGTCTATTATTGACTAATCCTTTGAGATATCTTATGTTCGGTACGATAGTTTTCATACTTGGTACATTTCATACTAACACATATTTTACCTACATTCTAATCTAATATAGGGTCTTGACGATATTGAGTTTCTTTGAATTGTAGAGTTTCCAAGGGTTTCAAGAAGTGAATATTGGTGAGTCCTCATAGCATATGAGGGTACAACCACTATGATGTCTTTTATGTTCTTTTCGATGTTATGATTTTATGGGTTGTGACCCAAGACTATTGTACTCATGATGTCATACATGGTTTTGTAGTCATATGTTAGAAGTTTAATGAAATGATTCCGCATTATATTTTAAAAAGGAAAGGTTTTATTTCTACACTACTTTTCATATATATGCAATGAATGATGTCTGAGGGCTTGTACAAGACCTCCGAGAGGTCAAGTACGCTGTGTTCCGACTTGAATGATGTCGTTTCTTCTATGGTGCACTTTGGGTGATGAAAAACTTTGTATCATAGCCTAAGGTTATGAAATGTTCTTAGGACGTCTCAAAACCACGTCTATTAGAGTTTTATTCATTGAGATAAGTCGTGACACATCTATGAGTAGGAGGCTGCAGATTCTGAGGAAAGTTTCACTTCTTCATTCATTAAGTCGTTCCATAGAGTTTGGTTTAAGTAAGCCTTCTTCTAATGTTTTCCTGTGAGTTTTTCCAGGTTATGGCTAACACTAGGGCTAATGCTAGAAGGGAAGAAGGTGGCCATGAGGATAAAGAGGTTCCTCCCAAAGGGAATCACGTCCCTTCTCAAGTTCCTAATGTTTCTCAAGTGGTAAATTTGACTCTAAAGGAATTTAGGACTTATATGAACTTGTTGGCTCAATCATTGACGGCTCAAGCCAATAGGGAGATGGTGGTTAACCCAATAGGGGGAATGTGTGCCTATAGAATTAGGGAGTTGTTAAGGATGAGCCATCAGGAATTTAGTGTATCCAAGGTGGAGGAAGATCTAAATGGGTTCATAGATGAGGTTTATAAGACTTTTGCTATTATGAGATTGACTTGTAGGGAGAAAGTGGAGCTAGCGTCTTACCAATTAAAAGACGTATCTGAAGTGTGGTATGAGAAATGGAAAGATTTTACGCTGGTAAGGTCGGTTCCCATAGAGTGGGATACTTTTAAGTCGACTTTCCTAGATAGGATCTTTCCAAGGGAAATGAGGGAGCCTAAGTTGGGGGAATTCATAAACCTCAAACAAGGAAAGTTGAGTGTTAATGAGTATATTTTAAGTTCACTCAGTTGTCTAAGTATGCTCCAAGCTTGGAAGAAAACCCTAGAGACTTGACGAATAGGTTCATGACGGGGTTGTCTGAACTAGTGGAAGAAGAGTGCCTGATGACAATGCTTGTAGATGATATGGATATCTCCCAATTAATGGTGTTTTATCAACAAATAGATGAATCCAAGCTTAAGAAGGAGACAAAGAGAAGTAGGATGTAAAATGAAGGGTCGGATGGACATGGTCGTTCTAAGAATCGACAAAAGTCTTCCGGACATGGCTGCTCTAGTACTTCTAGGTATGAGAAGAGAAATGAGTACTCTCGACCTACTTGCCCTAGGTGTGGTAAGAACATGCGGGTATGCTCTTGGTCAGTAAAGATGGTCGTTATGGGTGTGGTGAGAGTGGTCATATGATGAAAGATTGTACTAAGGCAAAAGCTAATGTGATAGAAGGAAAGCAAGTTGATACTAATCAAGTGGAATATAGTCCTCCAAAGAGGAATTGGTTCTATGCTCTCAGATCCAAGGGTGATCAAGAATGATCTCGTTATGTCCCTCTCTGGTATATGTTTCTTTAATGATTTATGAAAATTTTCAGAATTTCATATGATTATGAATTGTCTTTTGATTTTGCTGTTTTCTAATGATGAGGAATTGATGTTAGAAAGACATGTGTAGCACATTCCAAAGTGGGGGATAAGGAGCCTTTTTCATAAGGTCTCTCTATGGTTATGTGTAGCTAAGTCTAACTTGGAAGTGAATTGTTTCCTTGATTTGAGTATGTGCATTTAGGTTTAATGCATGCACAATGGGTTGCTACTGTATAATTGTTCTTTTAAGAGGTGTTTAATAATGTTTTATTCGAGGACAAATGTTTTCTACGTGGGGGATATTGTAAGGACCCCAAAATGAATTAGGTCCAAATAGAGACTAACATTTGTGTCATGATCTTAGAAGGAATTAAAATGATTAATGTAGTGTTTTGAGTCAGTATGTGATGTTTGGAAGAGTTTGGAGGTAAAACATCCAAGAAAGTCCTAGACGTTTAAAAGTTAGCCATGAGACGTAATTACGCGCCTTAATATGTTTCATGAGGTTTTATGTAGGGTTTGGGGCTCAAATTGATGGAAAAGGTTCCTAACATCTAGAAGGACGTATTGGGTGTGGAAACATTTGGGCACGACTCACCAAGTACCACTCAAAGGGTCCTTGAGAAGGACCCAAAATGTGGACAATGCACTGCCTTGGCAATGTCAAAGGACGACAGACATCGACGCTCCATCAACAAGACAATGCCTAATCGATGGGAGGCATAACCTCATACATATAATATGAGCTCAAGACCCAATATTTAGAGTTTCTATCCCAATCTACGGACCTGCAAGATGTATCTATCATTCAATCGACGGTCCATCGACTGTAGGTCGTCGATGGAGTCTGCGATTCCCTACAACACCCTGTCTAAGGAAGAGGTGAATGGGAAATTCACCCCATGTTCAAATAAATGCATGGACGGTTAAATCAAGTGGTTTTAGGTATTTTATGAGTATTTAAACAATAAGATATACTTTCAGACCTTAGATTCCAAGATCAAAATCTCTCCCTCTGCAAAACTCTCTCAAGAACACTATTAAAGAAGAGAAATTTGAGGCAACTTTTTGCACGAAATTCACCAGAGTTTCAATCTATATTTGAGGATCTAATTTAAGGTATGTGAAGCTTATTCATACATAGAATCTTCCATTCATGGAGTCCCCCTTGTTTTCCTCAATTGTGAATCCAAAGAACCCCAATCTAGAGAGGGTTGCCATTACATTTTGGGTAAGCCTTGATTGTGATCCCAATCTGGTGGGTAGCATTCAATTATGATCATAGGATGATTATGTGATGTTTTAATGAGGTTTTCATGGTGAATTGTAGTATCTGATTTTGAAGGTGATCATGGTGATGTTAGGCCATTAGAGGCCAGATGAAGGTTCTAAGTTGATCTTCTTAATTCTATTGTATTATATGCTAATTGATCATAATTTTATAAACTAGATATGAATTGAAATAGGAATAATTGATCTAGGATGGTCTTGACTTGTAAAGTTGGAGTTGAACTAATGTTATCATGTATGCCTATACTTACCTTCTAAGGATCAAATTGATTGAGTTAACTTATAATTGAACATGGATCATGATGAATTAAGGGAAGTAATCAATTGTAGGACTTGTATCCCATTGATGTTAGGGTTTTGAGGGTGAAGTCATTATGAAGAAATTGTGATAATATTTTCTTTTTCTTCTACACTCATACATAAACATGATTAGTGAAGCAAGTTCTCTTATATAGATGAATTCTAGGTTGGCCTAATAACCTTAGATGAATCAATACATGATGAATTAAAATAGCTTGAAGTTGTATAGAATAAGTCTCTTCTTGTTTAGTTTACTTGGTAACATGAATTCCATGGTGTGTTAATTTAATTGGTAGGTCTCATGATAGCATGAGGTGATGAACCTCATGATAACTTGGGATGGAGGAAGTAATCTATCTCATGTATCGCTTGGTCATATGTTGCAAGGATGTTTGATCATGATAGCTTGGGAATATTCGTTCTCATGATAGCTTTGGAATGGTGGTTCCCATGATAGCTTGGGATTGAGTAGTGTAGATCTCATAAGATTAACTTGAAGTAGGATGACTAAAATGCCAGCATGATAGCTTGACTAGGTTAGGCCTAAACTATTTAATGACAACTTTAGGGAAAAGACCTATACTTTCCTAATGTTATATTGACTTGCATGCAAGGTGGATTTCATGATAGCTTGTATTGCAAGCAAAATGAATTACATGAATTGGCTTGAGATTAGTTTCTCATGATAACCTAGGGTTGAGGATTTATGCTCCCCTATGATTAACTTGCATCTACATGATTGGTTGCATGATGGTTAGGATGGGTGTTTGTTTCCTTAGTTAGCTTGGATTAGGTTGTCTAGAGAAGTACTTAGTGTGGATAGTAGTATGGGATGTTATCCATACATGGCACAAGTATGACTTGAAGCTACCTATGACATGACCTCTATGATATGTATGCTTAGATTAGATAGTTACTTTGTTGCTTTCCATGATATGATTGACTTAAGATGATAGTTCCTTGTCAATATGAAGTAGGTATACTAGGGACTCCTAAACTAAAGAGAAAGGGATTAGGGTGACTTATAGACATGCTTAGTGTGTGAGGTAGAATGGGATGCTTCACATGGATTGAACAAGTGTGCTTTGAGGTGGACTAGAGGCATAATGCTCATATGTTATGATGAACTTAAGGTCTTAATTATAAAAGTGGATTATGGTCAAGAATGACCAACGAGAGGTACTTCGCTTTGGTAGTAGAATGGGATGCTACGTTAGCCTCACACAATCATACTTAGATGTTACTAATGAAGTAGTTCATTTGAGTAAGAAGGACAATGAGTTAAGTATGAGCTGTTATATTGTCACATCCCGAGACCACACCCTAGAGTATATGGCACTCTCGGAGTTCAACCGGTGTACTTGACTTCTCGGAGGTCTTGTACAAGCCCTTCCGTATCATTCATCACATATAAACATATGAAAAGTAGTGCGGAATTAAAACTTTTCATAAACATTTTATAAGTCTTCAAAAACTCTTCCGTATAAAACTTATAGGAAATATTAAGTCTCATTTCATCAAATCTTAGACACAAGAGAACTGTAGGACACGGCCCATATAAAGTATGAATATAGAAATACTTAGTTTATTACAATATTTCGATAAAGGAAATAAAAGACATTTATGCCCTTGAGTCAATGAGGACATACTTCAAATTGCTTGATGATCTTCGAATCCAAGCTTATCTCTCCGAAAGCACCTTCACCTATGAATCACTTCACAAATAAAAAAAATCATGGAATTAGTACAAACACATGTACTAAGTATGACATAATGCATAAATCATAAAAACTGACATTTATTGCAAATATGCATCTTTCCACTAAAATATCATATAATAATCATAAGAATAACATTTAACACCTTAGAAACACATAAGATGACATTTAAGAAATTTAGTACATTTTTAAGGTCACTTTCAGTGAACCAATTCACTATTAAAGTGAAGTTCCTTCATTGTACGGTGAAGTGCCTTATCTTTACTTTAGACACTTTCTAGCATGTAATCCCCTCACTAAAAGCTATCCTAAGACACACTTAAGTAATACAAAGAGAGGTCGCCTATACAACCTATCTAGGCACACCTAAATGATCCTCAATACCACTTATAATGAGATCAATACACATTTACAAGACACCAAACATACAAACATGAGATTCTTCTACTAAAGGTGATTCTAATTCTCACTTGAGTGAGATGTGAAGTGACCACCCATACAATCCCTTACACACACACTTAAGAGATCCTATAGACTACCTAAGATAGAATAAGTCTCACTTAATACAACAACTTATAAATGATATGACATTTTCCTTCCAAAGGCTATCAAAAGACTTACATAAGTAAATCAAGAAGATAACGTCCATGATTGACCTCATCAAGATTACCTAAATAATCCTTAACACTACCTAAGGCTTAGATATTGTCTAGATAATCAACCATCTTCCCTAAATAGGGTCATTCTTAAGACTTATCTAGGAATGATACTAAGTGACCATTCTTATGCCCCCTTCACACCTTAACTAGACAATCTTTAACTACTCTAGATAAGTACTTATTCATGTAACATTCTTTCTTAACTTAATCCATTACATTCATTAGTTCATTTAAGACTCATTCATCACATAAAAGACATTCAAGTAATGGTCTTGGATAAGACCTAGGGACGCTAACTAACATCTTCAAAGCCTATTGTGCAATATCTAGTCCCATACCACCACCTAAACCTCATAGAACTTATATAATGCTAATAGGTATCACATATGATGAGAATAGGCAGTAGCCGACATAAACCATGATAGCTAAACATGGAATAAGAGTTCTAACCTACTCCTATGTGGGTGTTTTACTTGCCAAAAGTAGAACTAGGACACATACCATGAAGGCACATGGTTCAAGAATATGAAGGGCTTTTATGAACTCTAATCTCATTCTCAAGTAGAGCTACATTGTACTCTAGTATCCTTCTCAAGTAGATCTACTTCCCATGAAATAATCACTTGGTGCTAGCCTTGTTCTCATTGAGTAATTTCCATTATAGGTTCATACAAAGAGGTCTCATATCTAGTTCATAACCCAATCACATTCACCCTACCAAAGAGGTCCACTAGGGCTACCTTACAATAGCGACATAGATAGCTCATCATGAATTCTCTAAGGATAATATGATGCCATTCCAGCCTATCAAACCTAAGTCCATCATACTTTACATTAAGGATACCATTACGGCTCTCGATTTCACATTCATAACATAACTTTACCCTAGGTTTACGGTTCCACGTACATGACCTTCTTAACATCATTTAAGGTCTCACATATCATTAATTCATACATGACAAGGATTCACTATGACTACCTAGCCAAGACGTATCGTATTCACATATCATTCATACATGTATCAAGTAATGGACACAAGTCTACCAAAACAAGACACAACATTCTTTAATTTATTCCATATAGAATATCATTCTTTGAAGCACTTAGGAAGGACCTTTATCATCTTTATGTTACCCTATTCATTACTATATCATCATCAATATAACAATCACAACTCATATAGAGAATTACAGACAATCATGCATCAACTCTACTACTACACATATGAACTTATGGTCATAGTCTAACATGATCTCCTAACATATATAGGAGGAACACATACTTACACATTATTTCACATTTAGATAGATATGATCATACTTCACATAACTCAATTATAAAAATCATCATAGTACTTCAAGTAGTGCCAACAAGGCCATGATCATCATAATACATAAAGTAACGCCTCATTATCTCTGCCAGGATCATGGGCACTATGGTTTTCCTAGGCTCGCCCCCTCTTTGAGCTAGGTCTCGAACCACGTACCTTAGACATGTATGGATTCTTCCTCTTGATTTAGGAAAAACCAAAGATCCCAATAAGGTAATGGCAAAGGCATCCAGACGATACTTTTTCCATTCTTCAATGGAGCACTCAAATTCATATTCATAAATGTAGTAGCCATCATCTTGGCCAAATCGTGAGTATAAGAAGTATAAATGAGTCTACCTAAGGTCTAAAGAAGTCAAGGTTGGATTAGACTTCATCCCCATGATTCTTATAAATTCCCTTGATAACGATTTATAAGGTATCATCATTTGACACTCATGGTATGGAAGGTCGATGAAACCGCTAATTTCTTCAATTGTTGGTGTCAAGTTGCAATCTGTAAACTTGAACACCATCTTCAAAGGTTCCCAAAACTCTAGTAGTGCCCTAGTCATGTGAGGTTTTGGTGTGAGAAAGATAAGAAATGTGAGGCCACCTAGCAATTGATGAATCTCCCTTTCTCTATCTCTCCTTATATCCATCCACCAGGAATAAGTCTCTGACACACCTCTGTCACCATTTGAGGGTTTGGGATTTCATACTCATCCATGACTCTGCAAATAAAACAATAAACAACTTCTAAACTCCGCTTTGGCACAGTTGGCTTGATTTAATTATTATGATCACGTTGACACATAAATATGCAATTTGTCTAAGGGTGTTGGGGCCCTTTAGACGAGAGGTTGACTACTAATTATGTGGATTGACACCAAGGGTCAAACCACCTAGGGCTTATGCAGCATGTATGACCTAACAAGGACTTATAAGAGTTGGCTTGACACGGACTCGAAAGGTATTCTATGTGAGAGGCTTGTGGTTTTGCGGTAGTAAAACTATCTGTTAGGTCCATGCATCTGCCGACTCTCTATAATGGGTATTTGAATAGAAATAAAGTAGTTGTGAGAGGTGCAAAATAACAACATCACGAGAACAAAATTAAAAAAAGGGTGCCAATTGCGGGAAGTATGAGCAAAATTCTAGTTATCAAAGCAATAAACACTTAGTATTTAAATTGGAAAGTGGTAACATATAGGCAGTTTATAAAATAATAAATAAATAAGCATAAACAAATAAAGAAAAGAAAATATATAAATATATTTAAAAATTACGCAAATAAGGAAAGAGGGTATGGGATTAGACATGTAAATAAACAAATAAGGAAAATGGAAAAAGGTGAAAAATTGTAATAAACAAATAAGGAAGATGGAAAGGGATCGAACATGGAAAGAAGATAGTAAATAAGGCAACAAAATAATAACTGAACATTGTAAGCACCTAACAAATAATGAAATAACCAAAATAAAGTAAACCCCACATAAATAAGCATGAAACACATAATATTAAGAACCCAATATCCCCAAAGAAGTCGTCATTTTGTCGCGCCCCATTTTTTGGTAAAAATGATTTTTGTGCACGACCTAACAACTCTTTTGGGATTTTAACTTTGGAGTCATCACCTAACGAATTAAGGCACGTTAGAGCACCTATCCAACCTAACTATGTCTAACTAAGGTCAACGAGTCAGAGATCAGGGTAAGGGTTCAAATTACCTCGAGGGGGAGGTGTTAGGCATCCCTTAAGGTCCACAAATGTGGGTTCTGGTCGTATCTCATGAAATCTATGTAGGGGTTACAAGTAACAAATAAGGTCAGTTCATTTATTAGTTAAATAATTAGCATGCTCGCTAAGTGACAACATAATATTAGACAATAAAGATTACTTTATTATTAATTAAACATGTGAAGCCTAAGTGAGAAGAATTATTGAATAATTAAAGCTACTTTATTAATTAGATAACATGCAAGACTATGTGATAATATAATAATAAAGAATTTGGATAACATTCTTATTTTAATTAAGAATTAGACATGCGAGACTAAGTGACATTTTAAAAAAGGATAAGCGAGAGGATAGAAAGGAGACATATAAATAAGAAAAAAAATTTATTTCAACCCCAAAAAACAAATATAATTAAACAAACAAATAAAGGGATAAAGGGAAGGGAGACTCTAAGAGACTTTTTGGATGAGCACTCGAATTTCTTTTTATTTTTTCGATAGGCTCCCGTATAGGGACAAACAAAATCAAGATTTGTCTTTCAAGCCTTAGTCGATGTCATCATCTCCCTAGGGCCAACTATCCCTACCCTACCACCACATGCATTTCATACCTAAAAGGTGCCTAATCGACCCAACTTGATTGTCCAAGAGGCATTGGACTCTTAAAGGGTGGGTTTAGACAAAATAGAATATAAGGCTCTCCTTGTCACCAAGTCAAACAAACAAGACAAACAAGACGGTCATTTTAGCATGGTAGGTTTCAATTTGGCCTCTAAATTTTAATTAGACATGCTTCCAAACAACACATAATTGTGAAAAGGCCTTCATGCTAAGTGTGTGAGCATACAAAGTTATAATAAACAAAAAATTATGAGAGCATACGCATATAACATGTATACAGATTTAAATATTCAATTGATTTAAGGTGAGCAGAATTAATAAAAAGGTTTTTCTCTTGATTCTAAGTAGCAAAGAAGTGATCCCACATGCATATATATTTTAGAATAGTAGTCGGTTTAATTATTAAGGCAGAAAAATTTTATTCAAGGCAAATGGAATTTATTTTGTTTAAGGCGAAAAATTATTTTAAGAACGACAATAAATTTATTACTAATGTAAAAATATTTTTTACGGACAGTAGCAAATTGATCACATGCATAAACATTTTTATTATGGAGATTAGTGAAGGACAAATTTAATTTGACAATTAATATTGTAATATGCTGAAAATTCATCCATTTTATTTTTTTAAGTAGCCAAACAATGCACAAACTCATATAGTTGATTGGGGCAACAAGCATTTAAAGTTGCAAAATTTAAGTGAACATGCAGAAAATTACCAACTGATTTATGTGACAAGGGAATGTTCAAAAGCAGAAAATAACCTTTGAGCAGTATTGAATGCAAGCAGATCATTTAAGTAGATTTAGCATATTGAGAATAGTTTATGAATAAATTTCAATACGGATAGAGGAAAATTATAAATGCAGAAATTATTTAACATTAAAAAAAAGTGTAGTACATTGATTTCAATTACTTAACACACTGAAAATTTATTTCAACTAAGTAAATGAACTTGATTTTATTAGTTAAATCTTATGTCATTACTTCTAATGACAAACCATATTGATGAACACTTACGGGCATTTTATGCAAATATTTAGTTCAATCCAATAGGCATGGATTCTAGATGTAGGCATAACATTTAAAACAAATTAATGACAAGATGTTGATTTTATTTATTAGTATTACCACCTAAAGGATATGAAGAACGACAATTAATTAATATTAATACCAAATTAGTTTCAAGTACTAAAATAGACCAGACTAAAGAAGAATTCAAGCAATTAAAACTTTTTATCATTATATTTGATTTTTAATCTAGCTTGATTAATTAAATAAGATTTTGCAACAAAGTGACAAGTAACATATAATACCACCCCCCTTAAACGATCCCCCAAATTTATTTCACATATATAGAGTTAACGAGTTATACAAGCATTACAAGTAAAAATAAAGGACAAATAAAAATATATATAACAATAAAATGAACGGGGCTTCGTCCACAATTTCTTCTAGGCAAATCTTCAACATCTTGAACTATAAGTTCAAAACCTGGTAGAAGAGGTAATGTAAAACATATACAATGAGCAAATAGTTATAATATAAAATGCTCATAGTAACAAATTACTTTCATATGTACATATATAAACAATACACATAAGAAGTAAAAGGGACAAAGCATAAATGAAGACATGTTACCACACATAGGGAGAAAGGATAAGAGAAATATCTTGGAAGCTTCCTTTTGTTTCCAACAACAACAATGATAGTTATGTAAAAACGAGATTTTAGAATAGTAAAGAAGACTAACCAATTACGCAGAAAATTTTATCACTAATGAAGTATTAAGCAAGGTTTCGATCCACAATAGCAACACAACAAGAAATGGTCCAAAGGATGATTCAAGAGTTCTTACTTTTTAAAGAATTGGAGAGGAATATTTAAAGTATTTTAAAGAATGATCAAGTTGAAAGATGAGAGTTGAGAGTAATGAGAGAACTTGAATTAAAAGTGATTGAATGAGTTGAGTAAGGGTCTATTTATATAATGAAGGAGAGGGCCAACGAAAAGGAAAAACCAATCAGTAGCAAAATATGGAAAATATGCTCCCTTAATAAAATTAGTAAAATCCGCACAAAATCTTTTCATATACGAATATTTCTTTCAGTAAAATATCCATACAATACATTTAAGGTAAATGAATCAATTAATGTAAAATCATCCCCTTTTTTATGGAATATGTTTACCATAAAAGATCTGTCTACCTTTTAACTAAGGCAAGACAACCCAGAATTTAAATAATATATAATACCAAGTGAAAGAGGGGTTATTTAAAGGAACAGTACAATTTGGATCCTAATCACCTACCATAATATGCTTTCATATACTAAAATAGCACAAACATCATTCTATTTTATTTATTTATTTTTACTAGAGAAGGAGGCGATTCTAAACTGTAAAAGAAAGCAATCTAATAATAGCAATTTCCTCAGACGCTAAACAAGAAGGAATCATCAAGATCAGTATTCAAAAGTTAAGGAAGTAATAATGTCAACATATAATTAAAGGAAATATTGACATTCTAACTCGAACTTTGAACAAAAATTCAACAAGGTTAGAATACTGCACATTCGAAAAATCTGATCATCACAAGTAAGAGCATGATCATCATCAAAAGTATCAAGAAATTATATATGGCAAGTGACTGTCATTTACCTAAGGTAGCATACAAGATGAAGTTTTTCAAAATCAAGTTAGGAAAATTTGTTTTTAAAAGATGGGTTAACAGTTAAGAGAATGTACCTGGACGGATCAGTTAAGATCCGTCATCCAAAAAATTAGAAAAACCTCATAGCTCTGCCGGAAAAATGAAGCGTAGAAGAAAAGGACTCGCCTCAGTCCATCATTTGTTGTTCGGTGCTTATTATCCTCTGGTGCTGCTATTTCTTCGAGCACTGGAGTGCTGGTCCTTGCAACTCATCTGGCGCTGCTGTATCGGCAGAGAAAGAGAGAAGGGAGGATGGATTAAAAGAGGCGAGGGGAGGAGAGAAAGGAGAAGAGGGAGGCACAGAGGGGAGAAGTGAGAGGAGAAACAAGCGATGCTGCCTAGTGAAGCTTGCCGGAGCTGTTGCTGTTCTCGCTAGGGATGAGGAGACGAGACTGGAGAGAGGGGTGAGAGAGGAGAAGGAGGGAGGAGGAGCAACGGGAGAGGGGAGTAGAAGAGGAGAGGGGCGTCGTCGGTGGCTGCTCTCGCCGGAGCGAATGGAGAGGAGAGAGTGGAGGTGGCGGCTGCTCTAGAGAGAGGGGAAGAGAATGAGATAAAATTTTAGGTTTTGGGTCATTTGGTGTTAAAGAGAGAGATAGGAAAAGTTGATCTCAAACGTTAGATTAGATAGAGATGGAGGGTTAGGATTCGATTAGAATTTAATGGATGGGTGAGATTGAAAGGTAATATTTAAAAATTAGATGGTATTGCCAAAATTGAAATAAATATTGGCTAGAACTAAAATGAAAAGATGACTATGATTGAAATAAGATTGCAATTGAATATGCTGAAATTTTTGAGAAAAATTGAGGAAATACCATCCAATTAAAATACTACAAATTTTATAAATATTTTTACATAATCAAAAATTGCATAAATTTTAAAATATTTTAACAATAATTTTATAAAGTAAACATACTAAAATATATAATTTCATGAAAAATCAACTAAAACTCTAAATCAAAATATATTTTTTAAAATACGCATTACATCGAATAGCATTCCTAAAAATTGTTAAAGGTCGGTCAAAATTGTGTATCAACAATCCTAATCTGGCTTTTCTCCTCTAGTCCGGAGTGCATAGCAACACCTCTTATTTGGAGCATCATCCTTTGGAACATTAGGAACAAATTGTTTACCCTCTCTTTCTCTAGAAGCAATGGTAGGACAATCTCTCATCTTATGATCATCCTTACCACAACCAAAGCAACTACTAGTACCGACTAGACACTTCCTATAGTGCCTCTTTCCACTAGCGTCACATGTAGGCTTTTCTTTTTGAGAACAACCTCCTCTCTAAAATTTCACCTTAGCACTAGGCTCATCTTGAGTTTGAGCCCTCTTCTTGAACCTAGGTTGATCTTTCTCACTTGGTCCACTCCTCTTCAAATTTCTAGACATCCTCTTATGTTTGGAATCTTCTATGGATTGAGCATACACCGTGAGTCTAGCTAGGGTCATATCATCATGTACCATGGTCATACGACATTCTTCCCTCACTAGATGGGCGACACCCATCACAAACCTACTCATCTCATCCCTAGGGTTAGACACAAGGGATGGAGCATATTTAGACAACATAGAGAACTTCATAGAGTATTCCTCAACACTTATATTTACTTGATCGAGATTGATAAACTCATCTACCTTAACCTCCCTCCTCTCACGGGGAAAGTACTTTTCAAGAAAAGCTTCCTTAAATTTTGTGCACTCTATAGGAACTGACTCAACTGGCCTATTGTCTTTCCATTGTGTGTGTCACACTTGAGAAACATATTTCAATTGATATGAAGTCAACTCCATTTTCTCCCTAGAAGTCACCCCCATAGCATGCACTATCTAATACACTTCATCTAGAAACTCTTGGGGATCTCTCCCACCTTAGAGACAAGAAATATAGGAGGATTCATGCTCAAAAAGTCTCTCAATCTAGATGTCATAGTGCTCTCCACAACATTTACTCTAGGTGCAAGACCCAATTCACATGGGTAGTCAAAGCTTGGGCTAAAGTAAGCAAAGCCTCTCTAATTTCCCCATTAGTCATTTCTAGGAGAACCACTAGAACCTCATTACCTTGGCCTTCAATAGGGACTTGATCTTCTTGACCACCTTGAGCAACTTGTTCAATCTTTTTAACTTGAGGAGGAATATCCTCATTCACATCATTCTTCTCAACCCTCCTCGCTGTTGTCCTCCTCATATTCATCTTCCTAGAAACACAAGGAAAGCCATAAGAATAGAGTGCTCATAACTTTTACTTTACGCCACGACATAGGAGTAGAAAAGAAGAGAAACTCTATTGTCCTATAGCCTCTCGCCCATAGATGTGTTGCGACTCACACTGATGGTCAACACTCTACAAGACGTGACTTGATGAGACTTTTTTATTCCTAAGACCACATTCATAACCTGTGCTCAGATACTAAACTTGTCACATCCCGAGACCACACCCTAGAAGATATGGCACTCTCGGAGTGCAATTGGCGTACTTGACCTCTTAGAGGTCTTGTACAAGCCCTTGCGTATTGTTCATCGCATATAAACATATGAAAAGTAGTGCTGAATTAAAACTTTTTATAAACATTCTATAATTCTTTAAAAACTCTTTCATATAAAACACATAGAAAATACTAAGTCTCATTTCATCAATCTTAGGCACAAAAGTACTTTAGGACACGGCCCATACACAATACGAATATAGAAATACTTAGCCTATTACAATATTTCGATAAAGATAGAAATACTTAGTCTATTACAATATTTAGATAAAGGAAATAAAAAACATATATGCCCTCGAGTGAAATGAAGACATACTTCAACTTGCTTCAAAGATCTTCTAATCAAAGATTAGCTCTCCAAAAGCACCTTCACCTATGAATCACTTTACAGATAGATAAAAGCATAGAATTAGTACAAACACATATACTAAGTATAACATAATGCATAAAATCATGAAAATGAACATTTATTTGAAATATGCATCTTTTCAATTAAAACATCATATCATAAGAATAAGAATAACAGTTAACACCTTAGAAACACATACGATAACATTTCAGGAATTTAGTACATTTTTAAAGTCACTTTAAAGTGAACCAATTTACTGTTACAGTGAAGTTCCTTCAATGTACTACAGTGAAGTGCCTTATCTTCACTTTAGACACTTTCTAGCATGTAATCCCTTCACTAAAAGCTATCCTAAGACTAACTTAAGTAAGTCAAAGAGAGACAACCCATACAACTTCTCTAGGAACACCTAAATGATCCTCAAGACAACCTATAATGAGATCAAGACACACTTAAAAGACACCAAACATATGAACATGAGATTCTTCTACCAAAGGTGATTCTAAGTCTCACTTGAGTGAGTTGTGAAGCAAACGCCCATACAATCCATTACACACACACTTAAGAGATCCTATAGACTACCTAATATAGAATCACTCTCACTTAATACAACAACATATAAATGATATGACATTCTCCTTCCAAAGGGTATCAAAAGACTAACATAAGTAAATCAAGAAGAAAACGTCCATGATTGACATATTCTGATTACCTAAATAATCCTTAACACTACCTAAGGCTTAGATCATGTATACATAATCAACCATCTCCCCTAACTAGGGTCATTCTTAAGACTTATCTAGGAAAGATACTAAGTGACCATTCTTATTCCCCCTTCACACCTTAACTATCCAACCCTTAACTACTCTAGATAAGTACATATTCATTTAACAAGCTTTCTTGACTTAAACTATTACATTCATTAGTTTATTTAAGATTCATTCATCACATAAAGGACATTGAAGTAATGGTCTTGGACAAGACTAAGGGAATCTAACTAACATCTTCAAAGCCTATTGTGCAATGTCTAGATAGCGTCTCATACCACCACCTAAATCTCACAGAATTTATCTAATGCTAATAGGTATCCCATATGATGAGAATAGGAAATAACCGACATAGACCATGATAGCTTAACATGGAATCCGGAGTTCTAGCCTACTCCGATGAGGGTGTTTTACTTGCCAAGGGTAGAACTAGGACATATCCCATGTAGGCACATGGTTAAGGAATATGAAGGGCTTTTATGCACTCTGGTCTCATTCTCAGGTAGATATATATTGTACTCTAACCTCCTTCTCAAGTAGAGATACTTATCATGACATAATCACTTGGTTCTAGACTTTGTTCTCATAGAGTAATTGACATTAAAGGTTCATACAAAGGGTTTCCATATCTAGTTCATAACCCAATCACATTCACCCTACCAAAGAGGTCCAGCAGGGATACCTTACAATGGTTACATAGATATCTCATCATGACTTTCCTAAGAATGATATGATGTTGTTCCATCTAATCAACCCTAAGTCCATCATCCTTTTCATAAAGGATACCATTACGACTCTCGACTTCATATTCATAACATAACCTTACCACTAGGTTTAAGGTTCCACGTACATGACCTTCTTAACATCATTTACGGTCTCACATATCATTCATTCATACATGAAAAGGGTTCACTATTACTACCTAGCCAAGACATATCATATTCACATATCACTCCTACACATATCAAGTATAGGACACAAGTCTACCAAAACAAGACACAACATTCTTTACTTTATTCCATATAGCATATCATTCTTTGAAGCACTTAGGAATGACCCTTATCATATTTATGGAACCCTATACATTACTATATCATCATCAATATAAACATCACAACTCATGTAGTCAATTAGGAACAATCATGAATCAACTCTAAGACTACATACATAAACACATGGTCATAGTCTAACGTGATATCCTAACATACATAGGAGAACACATACTTTCACATTACTTCACATGTATATAGATATGTTCATACTTCACATAATTTAACTACACAAATTATCATAGTACTTTAAGTAGTTCTGACAAGGCCATGATCCTCATAATATATAAAGTAACGCTGACAAGGCCACATCAATTGCAAGTAAAGCGCATAGCACCGCCACAATAAGTGGACTATACAAATCACAACATAATTGAAGTCTAATTATCATAAAATAAATATAGTTAGGGAATCTTACCACCAACACATTCACTCCAGTTCAATCCATGTACAAATCATCCAATTCAATAACATAAGGCCCTTACCCATGGCCATAACCAATAATTCAATACATTAACTATGATATTCAATGAAACTACGTCAATTAAGTATAGATTCATAAATATAATACAAACTAGATATCAATTCAATACAATTATTACCTCAATCAATATCCCATAGAAAACTACACTAGAATTCATAAGCATTAGAACAATATCACTGAACCCATAAAGTAGTCATCATGTAGGGTTCATCAATTACATGGGTTTATAGGTTAATTGAGTTAAAATAATATAATTAACAATAATTCAATCAATATTCAATGCTTTAAAACCTTTAATGCAAGAACCCATGGATAGATCATGAAATTGGACAATTCATCTTTGAAAACTTTTAGAGAACTCTTTGGAAGTTTGGTTCCTTGATGAATAGAGTTTCAAGGGTCAAAAATCACACCTAAATAAATCCTCCTATTTTATTAATAATCACCACTC